AGCCAACTACTCACAAAACGTAGCTACTCCGGTGGCCCCGGCCCTAGTCCACATTTCAAGCTCTTGCCAGATTAGGTCCACTGTGCCCCCTACGTTCCGTAAGTCTGTTCTGCCAAACACCCTGCAGTTGCGTTGCTTCCATAGATTCCAGCATATCGACGTGACAACGGAGTCAAACCCCTTATGGTGCATTTTTGGCATGCGCTTCCTCGCTTCCGACCACCATCCTCCAATTCTAGCTTCAGCCGAGGGGCATAGAGCCAGATCAATCCCCATTCTGGCAAAGCACATGTACCAAACTTGCCGAGAAAAAACACACTGCAGCAAATGTGGTCCATCATGTCTTCCTCCTGCTCGCATAGAAAACACGGTGATTTCTCCTCCTGTATCCCATATCTCCATCTTCTGTCTGAAGTCCAAAGCCTGTACTGAATGGCTGACCACATGAACAACTTGCATACTAGGGGGCCCAACACTTCCAAATTGCAGCTGAATGTTGGAATCTAGCCCCACCAATACACATCATTTTGTACGCGGATGAGGCCGTGTATTTTCCTTCCTTGTTCCAGTCCCAAACTGGTTTATCCTCCGTGTCCGGTACCAATTGCACCTCCAACAGTATCTCCCACAACCTGATGAATTGTGCCAAACCATCCGTGTCAAGCTCTCCGCCAATATCCTCCATCCAGGCTTGCATCCACAATGCATCTCTGACACATCTTCTATTGGCAACTTGTGTCCTTACGCGACCAAATACAAGTGGTGCCAGCTCCCTAATTGTTGCACCATTGATCCAACGACCCGTTCAGAAAAGCACCTTTGTGCCGGCACCAAGTTCCCACTTGACCAGACTGCCAAACGCCACACATACTTGCTTATCCAGTCTCCAGTTTAGCCCCTGCCACGGCCTTGACTCATCAGTTCTCCATAGCCAGGCCCACCTCAACCTTAGGGCAATCCCTTGCTTGCATAGGTCTATGACACCAAGCCCTCCATGCTCTTTAGGTTGGCACACTCTGTTCCAGGATACCAAGCATCTGCCTCCATGCACCTCTTCCGATCCGGCCCAAAAAAATGCTCGACATCCTTTGTCAGTTCTATCTAGTGCCCACTTGGGTGCCTCTGCCACAATCAGATGGTGAGTCGTCCTTGCTCTCATAACTTAGTTCACCAAAATCAGTCTCCCTGGCCGTGTCACCAAGCCTCTTTGCCATCCCGGAAGAATGTGCAACGCCGCATCGACCATTGGTTGCCACTCCGATCGCTTAAGCTGTTTTATGCTCAACTGCAAGCCGAGATATTTACATGGAAACGACTCCATCTTCCATGGCAAAGCATCCCTGACGAACTGCTCATCCTCCGGTTCAGCCCTGATCATGATTGCGAGAGACTTCAAATAATTTATTTTCAATCCTGAAGCTTCTCAAAAAATGCCAAGCACTTCTCTCACAAAATGCAAGTCCGATATAGTTAGCTTTATAAACAGGATCACGTCATACGCGTATAAGGATAGTCTCTACAAAGGGCTGCATCCGTTCATTTTACTTAACATCTCAGAGTCATGCGCCTTGATCACGATGTCTATGAGAACATCCATGGCTATGACAAAAAGCAAGGGCGAAATTGAATCTCCTAGTCTTAGACCCTTTGCATGCATGAACTTAGCTCCCGCCGATCCATTCACAATCACTCTGGAACTAGCCGAAGTGAGTAAAGTGGCAACCCAAGCAATCCATCACTCCGAGAACCATTTTGCTCGCAACACCTCAAAAAGAAAAGGCCATGAGAGTGAGTCGAACGCCCTCGATATGTCCAGCTTGAGCAGCACACCCTTGGCCTTCCTCTTGTGCAGCCTACATGCCATTTGTCGTACCAGCAAAAAGTTATCATGTATGTTTCTGCCCTTAATAAAAGCCAACTAGTTAATATGCACTAGCTCTCCCATCCTCGGTCTCAATCTTATCGCCATAAGCTTGGAAGCAAGCTTTGGCATACTGTGAACCAGACTGATCGGCCGGAAGTCGTTAATGCTACATGCCTCCAGTGACTTTGGAATTAGGGTTACGAGCGCTTGGTTTAGCCTCCCAAACCCAGCCCCATTGCCAATGAACAGCTTATGTAGAGCCGTAGTCAGATCTCCCTTGACAATCTCCCAAGCTTTTTGAAAAAACAGTCCAATGAAGCCGTCCGGACCCGGTGCCTTATCTGAAGGCATCTCTTTGATTACCGCCCATATTTCCTCCTCTGAGAAGACTAGATCCCGCTCAGATAAGTCCACCGCAATGATACATAGAGATTCTAAGTCCAGAGTATGCCCCCGTGCCTTGTCCCTGCCTAGGAGTGCGTTATACGCATTAAGGAAAGCCTCCGCCTTGCCGGCTTGATCTGTAATGACTTGCCCATCCACGTGTATAGCTGGAATGTAGTTCTTCATCCTCCTCCCATTGGCCACTAAATGGAAAATTTTAGAGTTAGCATCTCCTTCGTGCAGCCATGTAATCCGAGACCTCTAGCGGGATATTGTTCTTTCAATGAAGCAAGCACGAGCATCAAGTGCTTAAGCATACCCCTCATCCCACGCTCCTCTGTGGTCAGCGGTCGTTTTTCTTGTGCGTAATCAAACTGCAATATGACTAGATTTGCAACAGCAATCTAAAGCTTAATGTTTCCAACTCTTTTCTGACCCCAAATCGCTAGCGTTCTGGCAGTGTTCCTGAGCAGTGCATCTAGCCGATGGAAAGGATCCATAATCTCCGGGTCAAAAACCCATGCCTCCTTCACAACATCCAGGAATCCTTCCAACTTGACCCAAAACTTCTTGAATCTGAATCTCTTCTTGTAGTACATATGCTCTTCCAGAGATAGAAACAGAGGGAAATGATCCGAGGTTGATGTAGAGAGAGCCTGCAGCAAACACTCCGGGTGGTCCAGCTCCCAATCAATCGAAACAAATGCTGTCAATCTTAGTTAGAGTCGGCACCTCCCGTTCACTACTCCACGTAAATCTACGCCCATGCAAGAAGAGCTCCTTGAGAGCATTGTCCTCCACAAACCTTTTAAACCTGCTCATCATCCACCGATCCAGTAATGCATTATTCTTGTCCGCCGCATACAAAATCATGTTAAAGTCACCCCATACTAGCCATGGTCCAGGACAAAGTTGTCGCCTCGCCGCGAGCTCCTCCAAAAACATGATCTTTTGGGCATCTTCTTGTGGGCCATAGACCATAGTGAGCCACCACGACAGACCCTCCAACGGAGACACATAGCCAGTAGTGAAGTTCGTGTCATTGAAGAAGTTTGTCAGTTGCACCTTCGTGGAGTCCCATGCCACAAAGATCCCACCACGCGTGTCCGAGGCCGGCAAGTAATAAAAGCCATCATAGGCTGGCCCTAAACATTGCATTATTACAAATTGATCCACCATCTCCAGCTTAGTTTCTAGGATACAAATGATAGCAACACGGACTGAATGTACAAATTCTCTAAGTGCTTTCTTCCTAGCGAGGCTATTAAGTCCCCTCACGTTCCAGCACAACAACTCCTGTGGGTTGTACGACATGGAAAGGGAGCGCTCCATGTACGTACCCACATTCCCGCTAGAGACCTAGATGGCCACCAGCTCGGTACTCTCCAGTTCGGCCCCCAAGTTAAAGGGAATTGCATTGCCAAAAATGGTCGCAATCGCCCTCAGCTGTTGCTCTTGAAGTGGCAAGTCAAACACCTCTCTTAGCTGACCTAGTGCATCTTCTGAGACCCTAGGTCCTCGTAGTCGAACCCTAGAGTCTTGAGAAGTACCGTCTCCGATGCCGAAGCCTTGGATTTGTGTGGTCCGTCCACACCTACCGACCTGGTAGTGCGTCGAGGCGTGAACGGATCCTTCCCTGGTCGAACGCCCTGTAATCCCTCGAACTCCTTGAGCAGAGGAGGTGCTAGCTTCTTCAGCAAGCCCGCACAGAATGTCTTGATATTGCCAAGTGCAGCTTGCTCTTTGGTTGAAAGTATGGTGTCAGCACAGACCGGCCGTCAGAGCTCAAAATTCACATTCCTTGGCTCACTGCATGGGATCGACGTGGTCACATCATGTACAGTGGTCTCCAAACCCACCATTGGGTGGATGGGCACGGTATCCGATGTGGCTGCCTCCTCCACCAGCGCACTGCTCGCCCCATCTGTGTTGGACCGTAGTATATCCTCCACTGGGGCCCATCCATCAGTCAAGAGCTGATCTGCTCCCTTCTCTCCATACGTCCCTGGCTCCGAGGAGATCTTCTGCGTCTCCATTGACTGGTTTCCCATCAGTGTGCTGGGGGCCACCAAGTCATCCACCCGCATTGGATCCACAAGCGAGGGTTGCTCCATTCCCAATTCCACAACATGGCCCCCCCTGATGTGGGATCACCAAAGTTGTCGCGGTCGGCTCCACCACCTGCTCCAACCCCAACTCCTCTACATGTCCCCCTTGCCGTGGGATCACCAGATTGTCGCGGCCGGCACCTGTGCTTCTGCCTGATTGGTGCCCCTCTCCACCCCTGCACAAGCATCTGGCATAGAAGGCTCGAGAACCTGGACAGTTGTCCTGATCTCATTGTTCGGGGACTGGTCACCCCTCTCTCCTTTGCCAGCGGATCCGATGAGACAAGCCCTCCAGGTGTCTGCAACAGAATCCCGCCCCTCATTGTAGACCGGATAGGAACGTTTGAATTGTTTGACTGACCCACGACCCTTGTCCCGTGGCCCGCCAACTCTAGGGCCCCACCAGCTCCCATTGGTGGAATTCTTCAATCCGATGGCCCCACACGCCCCTCCAGCACCTGCCAGTACGATCTACCGGCGCCCCCAGCTCTAGCTCCGGTCTGCCCCGCCGGCCGCCTGCCCGCACCATAGTCATCATAGACGCTGCGCGTCCAGTGCTGGACCTGCTAATGGCCACCAGGCCCCAAATCTCGAGAACTGCTCGGCAAGCCACTCTGCCTGTTGTCGTCCTCCTCACTGTCCGCTCATCCCCAAAGCTCCGGTGGTGTGAAGTCCCACACTCTGCCAACATGGATGAACGTGGGATACTCAAGCAATTGCCAGAATGTTTTCCGTCGCTCCGCAGGGTTCGCACTCGCCGGTGGCGGCTCCAGCACCCAGAGACGGCGAAACACTGGCACCTCCTGTGGATCCACACACCAGGCCTTGAGTTTGAATAGCGACAGATCCTCTCTGCTCTCTGTTTCGGGCGCCAAGCTATCGATCATACACGAACTGCCCAGAAGTTTCACCGCCGTGTCCCTGGTCCAAGCATGAGACGGCACCCCTTCAATCATCAATCCACCTTCATCCTCATCAGCTTGCAATTCGCCTGCGCCTGCCTTAGCCATGGCTTAATGAACAGCTACACCCCCCATGGGAGACGGAAGGGATAACAAGATCTTTGTTTCTGAACTCATGGCCCGCGAACACCACCAAAAAGTCCTCCAGGTGGTACTTATGCACCGAGAACCTGTGCCGCGGCATGTCAAGCTGCGTCGATAGGATCTCTGCCGCCGTATCACAGGAAATCTGCGGCCTCTGACCCCCCACATACATCACCACTGCCAACTGCAGCCGGCGCTCCATGTCGTTCATGGAACCAAGCGGGGCAGGATGCAGACCTCTACCACGGCGATGGCATCTCCGGGAACAGCGGAAGGATGTTGGGCGCAACCGGCAAGGGAGACGCCCGCGGCGCCCCCTGCCCAGGCTCCAACAACAACCTCCCTCGGCCCGAGGCTGCCTCTTCGCCACCGGCTCTGCCCCAGCCGCCCTAGCGATGACCACCCTGCGCAACTCCTCCGCCAAGATGGGACTCCTAGGCTGCAAGCACTGCGACGAGACGTGCCCCGACATCCTGCATCTGATGCACAGCGGGTCGTTCATACAATCATGCCTCTGATGGCCCTCCTTGAAACACCGAAAACAAAGCCCGTAGAGATCCGACAGGATTTGACGCCGCTCGGAGGAAGAAGGGGACGCCGACCTGCCCCGCAGGCCAGCCTCCTGCTGGCGCCGCAGCGCACGACACCGACGCCACATGGCCTTGCAAGAAGGCCCGGGCTTGCGCAAAACCGCCTCCAAGCCCGAAGTTGCCATCTCCGCCTGCACCGCATCCGCCGACGAGGAGCACGCCGAGCCAGGAGAGCCCGAGAGCCCCAGGCCGGACACCATTGGCCGCTCGCGAGGCATCGAGTATGTGACAGAGGGGGGATTGCGAGATCCAGATGCCATGGCCAACGGAGGGGAATGGTCGCCGGGGCCGGAGTGGCAAGCGGCGAGACGGGTGGTCTCCGAGGCCAGAGCGGCCACCAGCGAGACGGGTGGACGCCGAAGCCGGAGCGGCTCTTACAACCAGGACGCCGCTTCCATCGGCATGGCGAAGTAAATAAAAAATATATGCTCGTATGCATCTCAATTTTGATGATCTATTAACCCGAATTTTTGTAGCCCCTCAAGGTCCAGCGTGGGACTCACGGACAAATGTGATCGAACTAAAGTAAAAAACCTGTAGCGATGTGTTGAGTTTGATTTCGTGCTGGAGTTAAAAAAATGTAGAGGTAAAAGTATCAATGATTCTGTGCTAGTGCGTCAATGTGTTCAGATTGAAGAAAAACTGAAATAACTAGGGATAGTATATCTTTTATCATCACGGTGCAGCATATCTGATTCGCTCCCGGAGGTTCAGAACCACACGAGACAATGCGAGGCAGAGTAACAACCAGCCTTAAGTCCGCAACTTTTACCAAGTACAGTAACAATCAGTCAATGGATCACGCCCCAGATACTCTCATCAGAAATGTCACGTGCCTATGTGGCCGATTCCGCAAAGACAGCGATCGACCATTTCCTCGATGTATCTAGAGCTATGTGGTATATCACTAAGGAGCTGTTCGGGAAACCACTAGCTCCACCAAACCCAAGGATCCGCGGAGTACCTGTTTCCTCGCTCCATGATATTGAACTGCGGCTACGGCTACTCCGGGAGCAGAGTCACAGAGCGGGAGGGACTCCAAACAGGCCCCAAGTATCCGTAATGCCCGTCAACCCCATAGGGGGGTCAACTTAGTGCGCAGCATTACCAGCTTATCTCTGCTGCCCCGCTGCGTTCCTCCGGACCCGAAAGGGGTACCGGCGGCGGGAACCGTTTCCATTAGAGGGCCCGTCGGGTTCTGCCATAGCAGCTCCTTTGACAGTAGCAGGAGATATCTGTCGCTTACTGGAACTGTGGGTACCCCGTCGACTGGGGTCTGATGATTCGTGTGTCGGCTCCAACTTTTCCGTGGACGCCAGGATGGTGTCGATCCGATTGCTTAGCTTAGATATGCCGCTTGTGTCCGATGAGGGCCTTTTGGTTGGAGATCCCGGGGTTTCATCTTCATCTGTGATGCTGTCTTCTATATCTGAAACCAGGGAACAGCAAAGATGGTAAGTTTCCAGGGGCTAACATATCCCTGTGAAGTCTTTCATTGCTTCACAGACAGTACATGAAAAGCTACAAGGGAAAATAATACACTTCACTGAATTGGATTAACTAAATATCCCAGCTGTGCTCAGTCAACAAAGGAACTAGGACTATGATTCCAATTTTGGGGTTAATGTGGCCAATAACATGGCTGTTTAATAATTTGTTAATCGAATAAGACAGCTTGCCCAAGGAAAAGGGGAAAGACCATAGGACAACGCTCTTATATTATTTTACGGAGGGAGTACCTTTTAACTTTCAAGTTTCAACAGTAATTCTCTTAATTTCTGTAATGCAACTTACCTCAAAAGCTGTCCCTGTGCTCCTTAAGTTCTCATGATTAGGTACTTCCTTGTTGTCTTAACAATCTAATGCTTTAGTGTGGCTTACTGTTTGTTACTTTCCCATTTATGCTCTTGACTCTAGAATTATGTAAAGAATTGAAAATCACCAGGCGCACATGAAACTTAATTTGACCACAGTTTAAACTGCGGAATATAAGTTAGACCGTACCATATGAATTAGCCTACTATGCATGACAGCCATATATTTCCACAAAAGGTCAGCCGTACCAGATTTAGGATGAACCAGACGAGCAGCTTGCCAGGATTTCCCTTTTGCCTGACCATAAATAGATACACTGTAAGATGTCTACAAAAATAGACAATAAATTCAGTTTAAACTGTGGAATATAAGGTAGACCGTCAAAAAAAGTAGAATCCATTCGATTCCATGAACTAACCCACAAGGCCACAACTGGTCAAGGATCACCTCAACGCCCTACTACAAGCATTAATCAACAAAATGTATTCAGAAGCTAGAACCTAAGCATTAGAAACTTACCACCGAAAGAGGTACAGTCCAACCTTTAATGATGGACCAATCAAGTGCAGGCCTCAGGTCCTTTTTCTTAGCAGGATGTTGCCCGCCTTCACCCATGGGAGGATCCAACAGCATTACCTGTAGAAAAATGTCAAGGACGAACATGTGAGTTATTGTCCCAAGTTAACCAGCATGAAAACATGGAGATTAAATGATACTCCCTACTAAAGTTGTACTAAATGAGCGGCAATTAATATGGATCGGAGGGAGTAACACAATTTGGCCCACTTCATATTTTAATTATTGACCAGAGAATGGAAGTTCATTTGGTATCATATTATTTTGTGTCATCTTCACCAGCAAGAAAGTTGATTGTGTGTTATCAGCCCCTAACACTATTGGACCGCCAGATAACAACCACACAAACTTAATTGAAGTATCCACAGGGCAGTAACATGAAACGTAGTGGACCACGATAACAGCGAACAACGAGAGAGTTAATGACAAGCAGGAGCTAATTTATGACTAAAACAGCAAATTACTAGATGTTTACCTGAACCACATCTCTACTGTTCAACCTAATAATTTCCGCAGTCCAGTAACAATCTGAACACTGCCAGTCAACCTTGTCACCTACTTTCCAGGTATCACAAACACTCGCAACAAGCTCATTCTTTGGAAAGCGCGCAGGAACTTGTCCCCCCCTATACCAATGAGGAAAGGCAGGACGCAACATTATTTCAGTACTCTCACTTGATTTCCCTTCCCCGCATGCTGGGCTGAGTGGGTTCTTTTGAAAGACTCTGATCCATTCATTCTCTGCAAAAGGGCATGGACAGATGATATGAGGTGTACGGAAAACCAACAGTTATAATCTTGGTCAGATTCAAGTGTTCCAAGATTTTCTGGTGTCTAGTATAAAGGTAAAATTAATCACGGCAAGACATAATTGCACTACATGGCTACGGCCACCAACTGTCCTGCCCCCACTCCCAGACAAGATAAACATTTGGGCAAGAAAGCACATGCTTTATTGGGTACTAGACAAATGTTAGTGCACTGATTGATCAATTGTCGGGTAAATTGGAATGCAAGGTATAGCCAGATGTTTTCATGTATTACTAGCTTTGCTGATTCGAATACAGGCTTTGCAACTTCCTGTTCAAACATCAAACCAAACTCATCAATTATGATCTGTACAGCACAAACCATTTTGGGGGAGATATAAATAGAGATCACGTGGTTTTTCAAGCACTGCATGATCCATCTCATTAAAGGTAAATAGTGTTGGCCAGGCATCATACATGATCCATTAAAAGCTTGAGGCAATATTATAAGATTTGTAAAATACAGATGTTTCTTCATTATATTGTATGATTCCTGCTGAAGGGTACCACCTACAATAATGTTTAATCATCCAAGCAAACATGTGGCATATTTCTGGACTGACAAAAATTTAAATGAAAGATAACTATATCATATATATAGAGAGAAAACGTATATAATTAGCAGGTCTACTTTCAAAAATTGGGCATGCCGTAAAATATACCAGCTGCCTCCAGGGCCTCAGTGGTGTACAAGAGGATAATTCCACATACAAATTATGTCCACAAAACAAAAACAAGATGCTTGCACCAATATTCTTAAGCTAAAAGTTCAAAAAATGAGTTTTCAAATTGATTATTGCACATTTATGTGGAAACGAAAAGAACAGAGCTTCTGTAAAAATATGCTTGCCTTCTTCAGTATAGTCAATATACTCCAAGTAATACTCAAGGTGCCCAGATTCTGTGACACGCATATTAATAATCTGAAAAAGAATTAATACAATATGTGTTAGTAAAGCCCTATACCCCACCAAGGAATGAATAAGGAGAAAAGTGTTATGTTTGTAATCCAAGAGATCATGGTCAAAGTAGTACCATACATTATTTTTGAAAGTAGACCTGCTAATTATTTTTTATTTAAAAGTAGTACCATACTAGCATGATATATTGGAAAGAAAAAGCTTCATCATCTATGTTTGTAATATGTATTTCAGCACACATCGGTTTCAAGATCTTAAGGGTTTCAGCTCTAGCCTACCCCAACTTGTTTAGGACTAAAGACTTTGTTGTTGTTGATAGAATTCAGGGCTACAATAGCAAAGCCTAGATGTGTAGCATAGCTTTATAAACAACTCCCTCCGTGCTTGAAAAGGCGTATAAATTTTGTCTGAAGTCAAATGGTGCAAAGTTTAACAGAGTTTGTAGGAAAAACTATATAAATTTTTAGCCTGTTTGTCTTCAGACTAATTTATACGCCTTCTTTTCAAGCATGGAGGGAGTAATGACAAGAGTTCAACTCTCACCAACTAATCAGTGGTGGGCTGTTTGTGTGGATTTCATTATGATATTCTGGTATTTAAATGGGTGACCTTATGGGTTGTGAGCTCTAAGAAGTTCAGTTTGTAATAAAAATGAAGGTTAACACGTTAGGCTAGAGGAGTGCCGAAGATAAGAGTAATGCTACAGGGAATTGGTCAGGACCTAATATAAGCATAACCGGGGGCTAAAATATGTGCAGGGGGCCAAGTGGCCAGCTCAAGTTTGGAACATGCCACATTGGGTCATGCACACGACCCAATGAAATAAAGAAGTTCAATAGTCAAACAAATCCTAGAAAAAAGAAGCCTAAGAAGGATAAAGAAGTCGAGACCCCTAGAGAGTCAAGGTCAAAGGTCCACCATAGACCTTGATCTAGGTCCATAATCAATGGTATATAATAAAGTATGGTCCATGTTTCCTACTTTTCTCTTATAGCCTTGCTTTTCTCTCCCACTAAAGGTGTAGATGGCAACTTATGTCCTTTTACGCTATTGCCTTTTGTTCCCTCCCACTAAGGGAGGTGGTGGTCTTCAAGCAACAAGGCTCTAGGCTTATATGAACCCTTGGGTCATTTATGATATATTACCTAGTCTCTTCTACCTAGTTTGTGCAAGAGTTTCTATAAAGAGCATAAAATAGTTGCCCGAAGCATGCATTAATGATATCCTAAGCCCCAATATTGACCCTCTCAACCAAACGTTGTTTGGATCCAATCTTAGGGCAAGTAGATTTGTATAGAAATTCAGGTGTCACTGTTTCTGTCCATGCACAACGACCTCTTTTGAGGCTAGAATACACCCTAGTTGCTTCACTAGTTAGTTACAAGGACAAACAAACAAAGATGGTATGAGAAATTGATGAGTATACCAGAAGTGCAAAGAAAATGTGGGTCACATGTACTCTGCTAGCACTATGGAAATACATTCTCTTTTAAATATTTAGGTTGTACTTATCTATAAAATTTTTAGTCAGGAAAATATAGAACAGTAAAAATTAGTGGCCAAAATCTGGCAGGCAATTTCACTAGGTAGTACTTGTGCACTTGTTTGGTACTTGTGCACTTGCTTGTTACTAAGAAAGCTCTTGTCAAGACAACAAAGCATAAGGGGTCGTCAACAATTAATGCAACACCGATTTTATGATGTACATGGAGTCAATAGAAGCTTTAAGTTTAAAGACGCAAAAAGAACATGCTGAGAGTAGCTGTATGCTTCCTAAATCACTAAATTCAAATCATACACATTAAATGTCCCACCTTGGAGCGGAACCATGCACCTGTGTAACCCTTAACAAAAGACTTTGACTCGGCAAGATCTCCAACTTTGAACGGGAGAATTAGATCCATATCCAGTCAATCTAAAGGCAGTACAAACAGAAGAAACAATGGGTGTTAGCACAATGTTGGACTTATAGTACTTCCTCCATTACAATAGTTCACATCACACCATGTGTGCATATAATAAAGCGCTAGTTCTAGCAAAAACTAATATACCATGTGTAACACTAGTAAATGCCTTATATAGAATGGAAACACCAAAACAATCACAAGCATGAGTTTGTAGTATTTGAAGAAAAGTCATCAAAGGCCACACACAATTATAGTGAAACACCCAAGACCATGTACAACTATAGTGAAACAAACAACTGAAGAAATGGCGAGGCAATACGATGAAATAACAAAATATATGAAACATCAATGTACAGAGCATCGTCAAAACAAGCGTAACCACTAAATATCACACGCCCTTCTTTTTATTTTAAATTCTTGTTACTCTTGGCCTATTTATTGTACACTACAGTGTAGAGAGCATCGTCAAAACAAGCGCAACTACTGATGGGCTGACTCCTAGGCTGCTGGTACACTCCAAGGGCATGTCTGTCAAATATTATCATATTTATTTTGATTATCTTAAAAAGAGGATCATTTGCTTTTCCAGTATTACACACTCATGATGTATCTCACGAGAGTATATCACATGCCATTGTGAAAAGAAGTGATATCGGCGTATTGATAAATAGACTTACATAGTAAAAAAAAAGGGCAGCCCCAGTGCATGTAGCTCCCGCTTGCGCAGGGTCTGGGGAAGGGTCCGACCACTTTGGGTCTATTGTACGCAGCCTTTCCCTACATTTCTGCAAGAGGCTGTTTCCAGGACTTGAACCCGTGACCTCATGGTCACAAGGCAGCAGCTTTACCACTGCGCCAAGGCTCCCCTTCAAACAAAGGTCGCACTTGGATACGAACTCATAACCAGGCGATAGCGGGTCAGCATTCTCAACCAGTTGAGCTGCGAAGTGTTCGTAAATAGACTTACATAGTAACAAAAATATAAAAGATGGACTAGAATAACAATGACAAAATCCGTAGGAGCAAAGTAATTACACCAACAATACATTCAATCATCACAACTTCCAAATGTTACAAATATTTTGGCTCTCACAACCATTTCAATCAATTAACTTGAATTCTTGCTTATACAAAATAATAATGCTAATAACCTAGCCTCTTGTCATCTCAAATGGTCTAACTACTTATACTCCCTCCATCCATATATATAGGGCCTAATACGGTTTTTGGGACAGCCTTTGACTACTCGTAAGATTTATAATATATGAAAATATGAGATGTATAATGTGAAAATTATATCATTAGAAGCTCCTCCCATGTACGAATTTGACGGTATGCTTTCTGTAACTCGCATGTTATATATTATTGCTCTAACATGTGGTCAAAGTTAGCCTCGGAAAACGCATTAGGCCCTATATATATGGATAGAGGGGGTAGCTTGGATTGGTTGGTTTATTTGTGTTCTCTCTAGTCATAACGTGACTTTGTATAGTATATCACCCCACGTCCAAAAGGTTTAGTTTCATATAAGAACACTTTATCTTAGCTTAGAATGGGTCAAAGTCATTGTATACTTATAAGAACTCCCACCAAGTTGGTTCCACTAGTTTCTATGCCACTTTTGGGAGCATCCTCACTATATAGGCTAAGCTGATATGTTGTGCATTTTGATACCATATGCATATTTGTAAAGCATTTCCATCAAGTAAAAGATGGTAGGAAACAACAGAAATACCATCAAGCAAGGCTTAATCGGTCAGGAGTCCCTCTAACTAATCTAGTAAATAGTGGAATAAGTTGGTAACTACGTGAAATGAACTAAGCTACTAACTAGCTGGCTACAACTTATCTAGGCTTACTAGAACGAAGACCGAGTATATGAGGTGTGACTTTAGGGTTTAGACCGATAAGTTAGTTTATAGCAAGGTTTTTGAGTCGTCGACTAATCGCGTCGTTGGAGCGAGGTTGGCTTGCGCAGGCGACTTGGCTAGAGGAGCAAGTCGCGTGGCTGGTAGGCTAGTCGACGACTAGTCGGGCGACTAGGACCTCAAAGCAGGTCCGGCTTGCTTCAGCAAGGCCAAGGGAGGGAAGACCGAGAAGGTGAGGAGGCCTGAGTCCAAGGCGGGGGAGGAGGAAACGAAGCTGGAGAGTGCGCCGCCTGTACGAGGAGAAGCACGGAAGAGACGAAGGAGAAAGGCACATGGGAGAGCAGATGCACGGTCCAGATTAGAGCATATGGACGGTTTGGATTTTATTTGGAAGCTAGGGTTACATAATGGGCCTATTGGGCCAGCTCTCTAGCACGAAACAAAGGAGGAGCAAGACGCATGCTCCCATCCCAGATCTGCAGATCAGGATCGCCGCCTCCATTGCTCCTACGAGTTGCTGCTGCCTTCTCCGAGCTGAAGTATCCTCCAAGCAGCTGCCTACCCCCTCCTCCGCGTGCAACAACACCTCTTCCCCCTCCTCCTCCTCCTCTTAACACCTGGGGCGACTTGGGGCGATTAATCACGACGAGTCGCAGACTAATTGCAGCGAGCCACTAATCGGAGGCATGGCGACACGACTTGGCTAGGCGACTCAAAAACCTTGGTTTATAGAGACATATAATGCCTAGGAGACATTTGGGATCAATGCTACAAAGCAATGGTGATATGATATCAATGAGAATGTTAGGCACAAAAACAAAGCAAGATGACAATCAAACATGTGATACTATATCTGGCCATGGGCCGGGCCAGGCCGGGCTTGAAAAAGCCCACGGCAAAAAACCGAGGCCCAGGCCCTCCCAGGCCCTATCACTGGGCCTACTTTTCAAGCTCAAGCCCGGCCCATCTGGTAAAAAGCCCTAAAAAGCCCTTAGGACTTAGGGCCGTGGGCCGGGCCTCTTCCTTAAAATGCCAATACGCCAAGCCCAAGCCCGTCTAGGCCCTACTGGTGGGCTCAAAACTCAGGCCCAAGCCCAGCCCATGGGCAAGCCCATCGGGCCTAGGCCCTGGATTTTGGGGCCGGGCCTGGGTGGGCCGACAGGGCCGGGCCTGAGATGGCCAGGACTATGTGATACTATATGAAGCAACATGTTGGCCTATTAAGAGACAACACATCCAACAAATGAGTATCACTAAGATGCGCATGCTAACGTGGATGTATGGCCATGCAATCAAGGACTGAATTAGGAATGAGGATATATGTGAATGCTAAGGTGGATGTATGGGCTTGCAATCAAAGACTGAATTAGGAATGAGGGAATATGCGACAAGGTAGGGGTGACACTGATTGAAGAGAATCTTGTCCAACACCGACTAATGTGGTTTGGACATATCCAACGAAGGCCTGCAGAAGCACCAATGAATAGTAGTTATTCTAAAGAGTAGCGAAAATACTAGGGGGTATGAGGCAACCAAAGTTGACGAGGGAGGAGGTGGTACAAGGAGAGGATTGGAAAGTATCCTAGGATTTGGCTCTTAACAAGATTGCATGGAAATCATGGTGACAACTGTACTATATCAACAATTACGATCGGACTTAAGGGCAATTACAAATAATAATGTAATTTTTGCTATTTTTACAAGCACAAAGCAATAAAAGAATTCATCAAATGACTATAGACAAAACAAATAGGACAATCTCACAAGGACAAGCATAACTATTTTCATACTCCCTCCGTCCCAAAATTCTTGTCTTAGATTTGTCTAAATACGGATGTATCAAGTCACATTTTACTATTAGATACATTTGTATCTAGACTAATCTAAGACAAGAATTTTGGGACGGAAGGAATATATCATACTCCCTCTGTTCCATTATACAAGATGTATTATTTTCGACACGGTGACCAAGGCACATGATTATGGACATGTTAGGATGAAATTACCCTTAGCAAATTTGTGGTTTGTGGCAAGTAAATCAGTTAGTACATGAAAGTATGAGATACATGCAACCGAGAGAGATACTTTCTACAAGGAGAGATACAAACAATCAGGAAAAAATACTTTCCATTTTTTGGAGGGCTAAAAAGGAAATTACAAGAAATTAGAATAAATGCACCTTACATTGTGTAATTTTTGCAAAAAACAAATACACCTTAATATAAAAGAACAGAGATAGTATAATGTAAGATTTATTAATTTTGAGTGTAACTTTAAACACAAATTAAATAACAAATACTACATCCGGTCCAAAATATAAGATGCACCAATTTTCAAAAATTTGGATTAACTTGTATCTATATCAATATGAAAAGAATTAAAAAGACATTTCAAAGTAATCTCGGCCATCAAACCATGTCAATTTTACTATTTAGATTGCTTAAATGACACACGCTCAACATGTTTAGCGTAAAATTAATATCATACCAAATATGAATATCAGAAAATTCCTTCGTTTCAAAATAAATGTCATGGATTTAGTTCAAATTTGAACTAAAAGCACAACACACATTCTGGTACGGAAGGAGTACTAAATATCAACATACAAATTTACTAGTTTCAGTAACGAGAGTATGATACTTTGAGTATATCTTATACCAATACTTTTTCTAATAAACCTGCACTATTTTTTATTTTTTTTGCCCTAAGTGATAAATCTGAAAATATCACAAGATACACACATGCAATTTTGTCTTAACCAAACTTAAGTAAAAAAAATATGTTAAAACAAGTTTAAGCAATATAAGGTTTATCAAGAATCATAAAGGAATCAAAAATGACTTAATAAAATATACAATCTCAAAACATGCAAAACCAATCTAAATCCAAACAACCCATTATAAGAAATAAAAAAAAGTATAAGAATATATGAAGAAGAAAGAGAAGATTCTCAAATCTGAAAAACCATGAACCTAACAAGCCAATCAACACCAATACTTTCTCTTCAGCCATAAAGAAAAAGGAAAACCGTTTGAACCCCAGATCTACACGAAAAGGGATTGTTGAAACTTTGGCGCGCCAGTACGGACATGTGGACTCATCAAAGACCAAGAAGGGATGGGGGGAAACACGCAAACAGAAAGCAAGATGGGGACGCTGGGATTGGGGGAGGGGGCGCACCTGCAGCGCCAAAGAGCCGGCAGGCCTACTACTCTCCGCCGCCGCCGCACGCTCCAGAATCGGGATTAGGGAAGGTAGCGTCGTCGTCCTCTGGTCGTCTTCTACGGCGGCGGCAGGGCGCTGCGCTGCGTAGCCGCCGCTATGGGGCATTTATTGAGTTGTTAGCGCATTATTGGGAAGCAGATAGATGCGCCGCATTATGCGACAGCGTTCGTGGGAGATGGAAGCATCGCGCTGCTTATGTAACGCCGTCGGTTGGAGTTCAAGGCCGCGCACGGGAGAAAGGGGCCCATTTTGTTTGCCCCAAACCGATCCGGCGTGAACCAGAACGAGATTATCGTAAAAAAAAAAGGCCACGAGCGGGCCGAGCCTCACGCTCGCAGGAAGACATTAGTACTGTAAGAAACAAATAGGAGCAACTAATTAACCAGCGCTTTTTTGAAAGTCTCGCAACGATCAGCATCACTTGGTGCGCTGTCAGCGATTCGTCACGTGTCGTGCTTTGGACGCTTTCTTCGGATTTCGTATTTTTTTATTTTTCCGCAAGCGTTTTTGGCTTTTTAAACGGGTTTTTTTCTGATTTTTTTATGGTTTAGTTTTCCACCTGCCTTCCCTAACTTTTGAACCAAAACAAAAAATTAAAAAAATGCATAAAAAAACACGTGTTCTTCTCTTTCGCGAGAGTCACGGTTTTGTTTCCGCGAGAGACACGGTTGTGCTTTCGCGAGAGGCACGGACGTGCCTCTTAGAAACAGAAAAAAACGCGTTTTCTGTTTTTTTTTCTTTCGTGTGAGGCACGGTTTTGATTACGTGAGAGGTATGATTGTGCTTTCGTGAGAGTCACGGCCGTGCCTCTTGAAAACGAAAAAAATGCATTTTTGTTTATTTTTTCTTTCGTGAGAGGCGCGGTTTTGCTTCCGTGAGAGGCACGGTTGTGTTTTCGCGAGAGTCACGACCGTGCCTCCTCGGAAGCGGAAAAAAAACGTGTTTTCTGTTTTTTTTTCTTTCACGAGAGTCGCGGTTTTGCTTCCGCGAGAGGCACGGTAGTGATTTCGTCAGAGGCACGGGCGTGCATCTTCCAAAAAGGGAAAAACTCGTGCACCCGGTCCGGATTTTTTTGTTTGATTTTCTCGTGAAAAAAATGTTCGTCGAAACCTATCGACATGGAATCTAGTTTTGAAGATCTCGACGTGAGGAATCCAACGGTGAAATCGGTTCGAGATTTGGACGCGTGATTTAAGAGATAAAATGTTTTGAATAAATGGATCTACGAAAAAAAGGAAACTCCCAGGCTGCGACAAGTGGCACACATGCAGCGCGCTACTTGTCGCAACCCGGGGATTATGATGATCTTCGCAAGAGTACTCCTTAACTAATGGTTTCAGAAACAAACAGTTGGACTGGACTAATGATCGTGAGAAATAAACAGTTGGCCTCGACGTTGGCTACGTCTACGTGAACGACTTAGCCATAGGACGGAAACAAACAAATAGTTGTTGGTAGACTAAAAAAAGATTGATGATGTCATCTACACTTCTACATCTACACTACTATTAAGCAATCAAACAAAAACTTTTTTATGTGCACCCCGCAATTAGTCCCACAACCTCGCACGAATCAATCAGCACCACACGTTTAGGCTTATCATTCTAAATCTAACAGCCATCATTGATCTAATCGCGATTTGATGTACACTTAGCAATTTACCTCGGCTAAACATACTCCACCAATAGCAAAATCATCGCGTCCCCAGCCCCTCCCATCGCGTGATCATTGCAGAAAAAATGGAAACTGGTCGCCCTCGCCTCCCTTCGCCCGCAACCCTGATGCCTTCCTTTCTTCCGCAGCCAGCACACCGCACGACGGCCGGCAGCCCCATCTCCTCCCTATCCTCCATCGCCTCCCTGTACCGCGTCGTCGAGTAGGTGGACGCTCCTCCGTCAACTCCTTCACGACCATCCTGTCATCTTCCCTATTCGAGATCTGATTGTCCTCCTGCACACCAATTCCCTGCAACATTGTGGCCGCCCTGCACGCGATCCCACCGCCGCCCCAGGAGCGTGCCAACCGAGGCCGCTACCACGCGAGCCTGCCGTCGCCTCTCAAACTGGCTTCAGCTGAGGCCTCCGCCACGCGAGCCCACATCTGTCGTGGCCACTACCACGCGAGCCTACCGTCGCCGCTCGAACTGGCTTCAGCTGAGGCCTCCGCCACGCGAGCCCACATCTGCCGAGGCCGCTACCACGTGAGCCTGTCGTCGCCGCGCTAACCGGCTTTAGCTGAGGCCTCTGCCACGCGAACCCGCATCTATTGCACCCGCTGCCGCGCGAGAGCCTGCCCGCCACATGAGCCCGCCTCCGCGTGAGAGCTTGCCTCCACTGTGATTCGTCCTCAACGTCGTTTGCCCAACTGATGACATCGTTGTATGCGCAGTCACCCTGGCATCCATCTAGAATAGGCGAGTCCAGCCAGCCACATACCCTACCACGATAACTGATCTCATGGTGTGTTGTTTTATTGAAGATATGTGTCAGCCATTGTGTCATGTATGGCATATCGAAGAACATACACAAAGCACATACTTCATGATTTCAGCAAAATCTGTAGGCAAATGTAGCACATGCAGATGCAGAAGATCAGCTTTCATACATGATTGTATTTGATGCATATGTCGTAGTTGTCGAATAAAAACCTTTCTACAGAAAAAAACAATGATATAAGTTGATATTCTTTATTACACTTCAAGTTCACAAATGTGTCCCTGCTCTACACAATTATGAATCTTTTGTGTATCATCCTTTGGATTTGTGTGGGTGCTGAATGGATTCAGAGTAAAATACAAAAGATGTTGAAGAACCATATCATCCTTTGGGTTTGTGTGGGTGCTGATAGGTACCATCAAAAGGACACTTTATTACTGCTACCCTTTGAATTGTGTTATCATTCCTTAATAATTGCAGTTTTCATCCTTTTGGAATTTTGGATGCAAGGGATGGTATTTCATCAAAGATGATTTTTGGCTTGAACGAAGAGGTATGAATTAGCCTCTGAACATCATGTTATCTTCTTTTGACCAATTACTCGAACCAAAGAATTGAACATATTGTGTTCTTGTCTTCTTCCTCGTGAGCAGTGATAGGATTTTGTTCAATGTGTCTTATGTACTTGATAGCATTGACAATAGCAAGCTTGAGGCAACCATCACGCACTACAAGAAATATGTCAACTTGTGACCTTCTGTCAGTGACCCTAGAAGAATTGGTCATAAATCTACGACCATTTGAGACCAATTGGTCAAAAGCTGTTCGGGGGGCTCAAAACCCTAAACTATAACGACCTTTTTGGTCAGAAAGGTCGTAATTTCCTTATACCAAATGGTCATAAAGCAGATAGCACTGGTCCGTTGCCTTATTTCTAGCTGATCACGACCAATATAGATGGTCATAACCTTGTAAATTATGGTTGGTTGCTATGACTAGGCGCCACCACATCAGTTTTGCCTATGTGTCATGTCCATGTGTCAATTTTTTCCCTAGGTTGTGAAGCAACCTATATTTCTGTCATTCCCAAAATTCCCAAAAAATCTCATAAATTCTTTGGGTCATATCGTCGTCAAATATGTAAAAAACCTCCCTTGCCTAGTTCAAAAATAATTCAACAATATTCATTTTTCTATTCTGTTCAGAACAACACTTTGTGAAGGAAGTGTTATTTATATATTCTTGATTGCCCCCAAAATTTTTGGCACTATTTCCTATCCAAATAATTGCCTCATGACAAAACTCAGCTCCATTTGCCCAGTAAATCTTCCTCGGCAAATTTCCAAAGTTTTTGTCCACCTAGAACCTTTGTGAAAGAAGTACTAGCTATGCATATCCTAATGAGTTAAATTTTGGCCACATATTCTAAATGCCTATGTAACTTACCTACAGCAAATTTGAGCTCACTTCATTTAGCCAATTTCTCTGACTAATTTTCCAAAGTTTCTGTCTAGAGAAGAGCATTGTGAAGGAAGTGCTATTTATATATTCTTGATTGCGCTCAAAAAATTTGGGCACTCTTTCCTATCCAAATCATTGCCTCGTGACAAAATTAAACTCCATTTGCCCAGTAAATCTTCCTCGGCAAATTTCCAAAGTTTTTGTCCACCTAGAACCTTTGTGAAAGAAGTACTAGCTGTGCATATCCTAATGAATTGAATTTTTGCCACATATTCTATATGCCTATGTAACTTACCTACACCAAATTTGAGCTCATTTCATTTAGCCAATTTCTCTCACTAATTTTCCGAAGTTTCTGTCCAGAGAAGAGCATTATGAAGGAAGTACCACTTTGGCATGTCCAAATGGTATCCATTTTCTACAGTGCTTTCCTATGCCCAAATAAACATCCTCCACAAAATTTCAGCTCAATCCATTCATTATTTTGATCCCAGCTTCAACATTCGTATTTATGTCCAGTGTGGTACTTTGCAAAGCAAGTACCACCTAGGCTCCTCCTTTTGAGCTGAAAATTTGTGAAGACACTCTTCTTAGTAACTAATCATCCTTAGCCAAAACTCGTGCCCATTAGCCATGTGCATTTCCTGTACCGCTAATCAAACACTTGTCTGCTAATTCATGTTTGAGCATAGTTCGGTCTCCTCGTGAGAATCTTATTTTGTAATTTTCTTCCTAGCACGTACCTGGGGAGTTCCGAACCCACTAGACATGCCTAGGCTGTCCAGAACGCATGGAAATGCCACGGTCATGCGGTGACCACGCGTGAGGCATGCGAGTTTGCACACTCTGGAGTTGGGGCCCTCGGCAACTGTCCAAACCTCGATGTATCGCCACCAAACCATGTATTTCTGATTAAATAGATACTTATGTACCAAGAAATGATTTTTGTAAAAAATAAAGAGCAAACTATGAGGCAACTGCAGTTCAAATTTGACCTGCTTCCTACTGAATCGGCGGAAATTTGTCTTTTTCATGAGAGGTGGATCAAAACTTTTCACACCCAACCATTTGGTCAATTATGCATTAAATACATCCTAGTATTTTAGAAAATTGATTTGGTACAATTTTGCAACAAATATTTGGTAGGTCATTCACGAAAAAAGCTCATTTTGGGCACTCGAAAAATGGAAAATGATTTTTTCATGCAAA